TCTCCAACATAAGATTAAAGAAATCACACGAAAGGGGGGTCCCCTTGTCTGAAACCTCGTTTGGTATCAAACGGCTCGGAGAGGTCCTTCCCTATTCTGACGGAGCTGGTGGTATTGCTCAACGTCATTTTACACAGCCGTATTAGTTTCGCGGGGATACCAAATTCAGACATCGCGGCATAAAGGCAACTTCTCTTCGTGCTGTCGAAAGCGGCTTTGAAATCGACAAATAGATGGTGTGTGTCGATCCTATTCTCGCGGGTCTTTTCCAAGATTTGGCGTATTGTGAATACCTGATCTATGGTGGATTTTCCAGGCCTAAAGCCACACTGATAAGGTCCAATCAGCTCGTTGACGGTGGGCTTCAGTCTTTCGCACAATACGCTCGATAAGACCTTGTAACCTATGCTTAGAAGGCTAATTCCGCGGTAGTTGGCGCGTATGGCGGGGTCGCCTTTCTTGTGGATTGGGCAGAGCACACTTAAATTCCAGTCGTCGGGCATGCGTTCATCTGACCATATTCTGCATACGAGCTGATGCATGCACCTCATCAGCTCCTCGCCGCCGTACTTGAATAGCTCGGCTGGCAGGCCGTCAGCTCCAGCAGCTTTGTTGTTTTTCAGCCGCGTAATCGCTATTCGTACCTCGTCATAGTCAGGCGGTGGGACAGCTACTCCATCATCATCGACTGGGGACTCGGGTTCGTCTTCCTCACTACTTTCAGCGCTGCTACCATTCAGTAGGTTATAAAAGTGTTCCCTCCATAATTTAAGTATATTCTGGACATCGGTCACTAGGTCGCCATTGTTGTTCTTACAGGAGTTCGCCCCGGTCTTGAAACCTTCCGTAAGTCGCCTAACCCTCTGGTAGAATTTTCGGGCGTTCTTCCTGTCGGCCAGCATCTCAAGCTCTTCGCACTCACGTATTTCGGCCTCTCTCTTCTTATTACGGCAAATACGTCTCGCTTCCTTCTTCAGTTCCCTATAACGGTCCCACATGGCTCGCGTTGCGCCCGATCGCAGCGTGGCCCTGTAGGCGGCATCTTTTTTCTCTGCGGCTTCTTGACATTCCTCATCGTACCAGTTGTTCTTTCGGGCTCGCTGAAATCCAACTACTTCTTCGGCGGCGGTACTTAATGATCGGGAAATGTGGTTCCACTGCTCGCGTACGTCGGATTGTTGAAGAGTGCTCTCAGAGAGCAGGTGTGTGAGTCGAGTGGCGAATAAATTGGCCGTCTGTTGTGATTGCAGCTTTTCGACGTTAAGCTTTCCTTGCATTGTTGGGCGCACATTTTTTGCTGCACAGAGGCGGGTGCGTATCTTGGCTACAACAAGATAGTGGTCCGAGTCGATGTTTGGCCCTCGGAGTGTACGTACGTCCAAAACGCTTGAAGCATGCCTTCCGTCTATCACAACATGATCGATTTGGTTTCTCGTTTTTCGATCTGGAGACAGCCATGTAGCTTGGTGGATGTTCTTATGCTGGAACCTAGTACTACATATTACCATATTTCGGGCCCCGGCGAAGTCGATCAGCCTCAGTCCGTTATCGGACGTTTCGTCGTGGAGGCTGAATTTTCCGACAGTGGCGCCAAAGATCCCTTCCTTGCCCACCTTGGCATTAAAATCGCCAAGCACGATTTTGACATCGTGTCGGGGGCAGCGCGTGGTTAGCCAAGTTGCAGTTACTAATTTTATGCTGGGTTAACGGAAATTAAATTAACGAGAGCTATGCAAAATGCTTACACATCAAAAATTTACAATCATCTTTATACATACTAGTGTTCGCCCAGCGGTTGAAATTCAACCGATAAAATTAAGGATAGTTTATGTAAGTTGAATGAGCTAAAATAACATTAGTTGCAATGGGTTAAGTGGAGGGGAGTTTAGCTTAGTACTTGGCATAACATAACATAACCATAACATAAGAATAAATAACATAACATATGAAGCATAACACACCACAATATAACATCGCACACTCTTCAGTTGTATTTCCTTTTTATCCCTTTTTTCACCTCTATCTAAATCTTATTTATTTTGGTTCATTTTATGCCAAATGATGTTGCCTTTGATGCCACATCAAGTGATATCATGTCATGTGGTGAAATTGGGTGTGGTGAGCTGCGGTGTGGTGGAATTGGGTGTAGGAGTTACGGTGTGGTGAATTTAGGTGTGGTGGATTCAGGTGTGGTGAGTTAAGTTATGGTGAGAAAGTTGAGGTGTGGTGAATTAAGGTGTGGTGAATTTTGGTGTGGTGAGTTGAGGTGAGTTAAGGTGTGGTGAGAAAGTTGAGGTGTTGTGAATTACGGTGTGGTGGATTTAGGTGTGGGGGGTTAACGTGTGATGAGTTGAGGTGTGGTGAATTAAGGTGTGGTGAATTTAGGTGTGTGGAGTTAAGGTGTGGTGAGTTGAGGTGTGGTGAGTTAAGGTGTGGTGAGAGAGTTGAAGTGTGGTGAATTACGGTGTGGGGGTTAAGTTGTGGTGTGTTTCATCTTCATCTTCATCTTCATCTTCAGCTTCATCTTCATCTTCATCTTCATCTTCATCTTCATCTTTATCTTTATCTTTATCTTTATCTTTATCTTTATCTTTATCTTTATCTTTATCTTTATCTTTATCTTCATCTTCATCTTCATCTTCATCTTCATCTTCATCTTCATCTTCATCTTCATCTT